TGAGAACAAACCCTTGGCAGGGGGCGAATTTCAGAGCTGCCATATTACATTATTTTAAAAATCCAGCCTTTACAACAAAACATATTTGGCATAAAGAGAAACTAAGTATGGACCATACCCAGGAATAAAAGCAATGTACTAATACCAGAAACGAAAGAAGGAACACCACCACAGATCCTATGGACGTGAAAAAGAAAATAAAGGAATACTATCAACAACTCTCTACCCACCAAGTTGATAACCTAGATGAAATGTCCCATTCCTTGAAAGACACAATTTGCCAAAACTCACATAAGAAATAGTAGACAATGTGAATAGGTCTACATCTATTAAAGAAGTTGACAATAATAACTTTTTAAAACACAAAAAGTTACAGGCAGGGGCAAGAGATGCGGTCCTTTCTCTCAAGGTCATTTCTAGAAAAAAAATTTTCCCATGGGCTGCCCACCGAGCCTGATGTTAGCCCCTCAGGACACATAATCAGGCTACACAAGGACAGACCTGAATGAGCCCATTGCACTTGATAAACTGAGATGGCCAAGGTCGTGCACCCAGCTAGTTTCAGATGGCTGTCCAGGGTCTGTCTAGCTTGCTTACTTGCCTGGGCTTGGGGAGGAACAATGTTAAAATCAAAATCAACCTCTCAGAGTCTCACCGTCAAAGAAGATGTAGTTCACCAGGACCATGGCTGTCTGAGGTTCAAGGTCCTGAATTAAGTCTACAACCTTCCCTTTGGTCTCCTTCTCCACATAGCTGTTGATCCTCTTCCGGGCGGTGGAGCTGTCGGAGAAGTCCGTGGGGGAGACCTCCGACCCGTACAGCCGCTTGGCGTTGTCCAGGAAGCTTGTCTGCAGCTGCAGCTCCCTTTTGATGAAGAGGACACTCCCCATCCTCAGCTCCAGGTCCTCGCTGGGGACGCCGAGCGCGTGGACCAGGTGCTGGAAGCCTTGCTGCACGGCGGACTCGGGCATGCGCGTGAGGTTGAACCCCAGGCTCTGGAGGAGCTGGCTCTTGGTGGCCGAGCGGGCCCCGAGGGAGAGCATGGCCAGGGAAGCAGAGACGCTCATGGGGGAGAAGAAGATGTTCTCACTCGGGGTCTTCAACACCAGCCTCCGGTACAGGCGGAAGGCGAAGTCGGTGTTGCTGGCGGCCACCTGGGAGGCAGGGGTGCTCCTCGCGGAGGGTGGGCGGGGGGCTCCTTTGCTGGGGGCTCCTTTGCTGGGGGGACTGGGTGGGGACACACAATACATTGGAGCCCAGAGGCTAATAACTAGGAATACTTGATAAAAGGAAGATGCCATTTTGGAACGAAGTAAGCCTGCAAGAGAGGGAAGAACATTGAGGGGAGGTAAGGCGAGCGTCTGGCTCCTGAATCAGAGGCCATGCAACCTTCCACACCAGGAGCAATTGAATGGGGACAAGCAGGACAGTTAGCAGCTCCCAGAGAGGCTGGAGAAGGGGGTGGCATGTGTGTGTGTGTGGGGGGGGGGGGGGGGACGACAGACTGCAGAATCAGCTGTGCAGCGTGTGGCTGGATTCCTGTCTCTGGGGCCCGCCGGAAGGTTGATGCGGAGCCTGCCTCAACCCCAATGGCATTTTCAAGGACGATGCGGGCTGCTCACCTGGAGTGGCCGGAGGTGAGTAGAGCGCAGTAGTGGAGCTCACTGGGTGCCGGTGCGTGAACCTGAGCTGGCAAAGCCTGGCCCGTGTCTGCACAGGGAGGAGGGCAGTGAGGAGGGAGGACCACGGTGCGAAGCCCCGACTGTCCCTGTTGATGAGCTGGGGTCTTGGGGAAGCCATACGGGAATGTGGGCCTGCAGGACCCCTGTGGTGGGCTGGGGTCTGCTGTGCCGACGTGGATAGTAATGACTGATCACAGCACTTGACCATGAGTGAGTGGACCAGGTGCCGACCCAGAGTCAGAGCCTAAGCAAGACCACGCATTTCCTCACAACCTCACAACGTGCTGTGTGAGGAACAGCCTGTGCAGTCGCCTGTGCCCTGCGTCGCCTCCTCCGCCCCACTTCCCCAGCTGCAGAGGAGGGTGGCTCTGAGGAAAAGTGAGACAGTCTGTGTGATGCCCACAGTGGGCATGGGAGGTGGGAAGGGACAGGCCTGCCCTGGGTGTGCATAACTGTGAGCAGGGACGAGGTTGAAGGAAGAGACGGCCAGCGGTGCCCTGGGGCAGAGAAGTCCCGCGGGCCTGGGGTGGGGCACCACAGAGCACCTGTCCCCTCTCTGGGGAGGCATGGTGGGAGTGGGGGATCCCGAGGCACCTGCTAACACCGGCTCTGCCTCCCAGAGCGTCCCCCTTGCCATCAGCAGACCTGGCCTTGCTGGAGGACATCTGGCTCTGTGCCCAGTCCTGCTGCATGGGACGCCTGGGCTGCAGGGAGGGGCGCCGGGGGGGGGGGGGCGCTGCCTGGACCAGTCGCCCTTCTGGGCTCAGCTGGTGAATGGCTGGTCCTGTCCTCCTGTCGTGGCCTGGCCTCCATGTGATCTCAGGGAAGTGGCTGATGCTCTCTGGGCCTCAGGGTGGTGGCCTTAAGGGGCTTCCTTCCTGGGCAGCTGGGGTTCCACAGCCGTGGGCTCAGAGGCAGGTCCTTACACTCCCGAGGTCATGCTCAGCCCAGGCTCCAGGCAGCTCTCAACCTGCTTCCATACTCGGCCTCTCCCACTGAGCTCTGGCCTCCCAGGGCCACCCCTTCTGTCTCCCAGGGCTTGCCTGTGGCCTGAGGCTCTGCAATCAGGGTGACAGGGACACTTTGTCCTCCCTGTGCCCACCCCATCTGCACCCCTCCCTGCGGCTGCCACTCCTCGGGTCCACCTCCCATTGTCTTGCACCTGCACAGTTCCTCACTGGTCCAGTCACCCATCCGCCCTGCAGACAGGTGAGCTTTCCAGATTCAAACCTCATGCGTCACTCTCCTACTCGGATTCCTCCATGGCTCCCACTGGCCTTGGGAGGGGCGCCCAGGCACCCGGCACATCAGTTCCTCTCCCTGGGCCCCGAGTAGTCCCGCCTCACCCTCAGGCAGAGCGGATCCCATTTCCTGGGTGGGCGGTATTTCGAGGTCCACCCTCCCCTGCTTTCATGGACCTTCCTGTCCAGCTTGGGTATCAAAAGGCTTCACTCCATCCCAAACCCCTCCACACCCGGGGCCTTGGTGGCTGTGACAATGGCAAGGCCCTCGGCAGGCAGTCTGGTCCACTGCGGTCGCCAAGCTCCAGTCTCCCTCTGCTGCTGCCATGGCCCCCGTGCCCACTGCCTGTGGGCGGATCGCAGCCCTTTCCATGTCCTGAGCATGGGCTCCCCCTTATGTTGGTGTGCACACCGACACCCGCCCCCCCCCCCCCACACACACACATACACACCAGGTGGCCTTGCCTCTTACCCCCATTGAAGAGAGCCCCTCAGAAAAGGAACCTCCTCCACCAAGGACATACCCTACTTTCCCCAGCACTCCTCCCCCCCTCCCCTCCCTCCACCACCCTCCTACCCCCTCCCCTCCCACCACCAACCTTCCTCCTGGAGCCAGAAGCAGCCCTCATCTCCGCCTCAGGGCCCTTACACCTCTCTTGTCCGCATTTATTTGTTTGTTTGTTTGTTTTATAGTTTAAAGTATCACAGATGTCTCCTTTTTCCCCCATCGACCCCTCCCCGGCCACTCCCACCGCCCCAGTGTTTTAACACTCCCCACAACCAGCTCCCTGCGATGGATTTTAAAGTCTTGCCCATCAAGACAACCGCCGTGACACAGCAAAGAGCTCACTCCCTTCTTGCTACTGCCCCATATTTTTTCTATTTTTAAGATTTCTTTTTAATTTATTTTTTTAGAGAGAGAAGGGAGAGGGAAAGAGAGAGAGAAACATCAATGTGAGAGTGAAACAGTGATCGCCTGTCTCCTGCACACCCCCTACCGGGATCGAGCCTGCAACCCAGGCATCTGGCATGCCTGGGAATCGAAGCAGCAACCTTTTGGTGCCTGGGACAGCACCCGGCCAACTGAGCCACACCGGCCAGGGAAACTCTGCCCTATCTTCACACACACACACACACACACACACACACACACACACACACACCCATCACAGCCCAAATCTTCATGAGCTGCGTGGTCATGGCTGCCATGGCCTCGCCTCCCAAGCACTCCCTGGCCCGCTCCACTCTGGGTTCTGAGTGCACAGAAATGGGCCCAGCCCATGGACGTGTGTAGGCTCCCTTCTTACTTGACTTCTCAGTAGCACCTGGCACTGGAGACCACCCTCAGCTGCTTGCCCAGTCCCCCCTTCGGCTCCGTGACACTGTGCGCGCCTGGATTTCTCTCTCGGTTCCCCCCTTGGTCGCCTTTGCTGGTGTCTCCTCTCCTGCCAGGTCCTTACGGGCTCGGCACCCAGCGCTCGCTCACACTCTCCTCACTTTTATCTCTCCTCTCTCAGCCGCTGGCCTGGTCCCTCACCACCCGCTGCTCTATAACTGAAAATGCAAATGACTTCCTTGAACCTCCAGCCCAGACCTTTCCTCTGAACTCCATATATGTAAGCACTGACTTGGTATACCCTCCTGATGTTGCAAACAAACCTTAAGCTCAGAATCACCCACGCCGAACTCACCTACCCCAACACCATCTCGCAACAAAAGTTACCGCTGACACCTCTTTCAGTGTCTCCTTCCATGGCGCCACCACTTACCACTCATCCGCACCCCTCCACCCCTTCTTCCCATGTCAACACACGCCTCTCCCAGTGCCCCAGCAGCCTCTCCTCTCCTTCCTAGTGTGGGCAGCGGCATCTCTCACTGACCTGCGTGGTCTGGCCTCCGTTGGCCCCTCTAACTTCATCACCCAACTCAAAGGCCCTTGCTCTGGGCTGGGCTGCTATGCCCAGCCATTCTGCCCGTGTTTATGATCCTCACGTGATCTTTGCACTTCCTCCTCATGGAGTGTTCTTCTTCCCCCTCCTCAAACGTTCCCCCTAATTGATTTTTATTTATTGTTTAGGTCCCAGCTCGTGTGAATTCCTCAAGGAGGCTCTCTTTGACCACCCAGGTAAGGAACATTCCTCCTATTAAATGTTTTTAGTACCATGCGCCTCAGTGAAACTCCACTGTCATACTCTCCCATTCATTTGTGTGACTGGAAATTTAATCAAGGTGGTTGCCTATCTTGTTCTCCCTGTACATCGCTGTATGGCCAAGGCTCAGGGCTCAGGGAGTGTTTGATGAGTGAACGAATGAGAATGGGAATGTAAGTGAGTAATTTACCTCTGAGGGTTGATCTGCCTGGAAATGAGCAAGAGAGACTCTTTCAAGGTCTCTTAGTGCTAATGAAGGTGATAGGTATGTACACGTATGAAATTCGAGTTGACTGACACTTCTGGCCAAGACAGTAACTGCCTTTGGACTTTTAAATCATTAGAAAATTTTCTAAAACAATCGAGACACTGAAGAAAACAAGAAGAAACAATCAGACGTTGGGCAGCGCGGCGGAGAAGGGAGGCGCGCAGGGGACCCTGTGATCGCCCAGTCTCTGCCCAGGGCGCTTTCTGACCGGGAAGGAGCCGAGGCGCGGCAGGCTCCCTGGGCCCAGGAGACGGAGCGCTGTCTGAGGAGCCCGGAGCCCAGCGGAGCCGCGGAGGCGGGCCTGAGCTTCAGACCAAACCGGAGCTGAGCTCTGCGCGCATAAACCCTCCCCGGCTGCCCCCAAAATAAAAAATGAATCCCCGAAGCCCCAAAACCAAGACAAGGAACTGCTGGATGTACGCGGAACAACCCCCAGAGTTCACATAACGTGGGGAGATATTTAGATTATGGTCAGCGGGGGTGAGGAGACCTCATTGGATACCAGGGGCATTCAGGACAGAGCCTACTTGCTGCCTCTTGACGTTAGGACTGAACTGACTGGTTTAAAACTACTCTGGCCCGGCCGGTGTGGCTCAGTGGTTGAGTGGTTGGAGGTCACAGTTGCATTTGCAGTCTGGGCACAAGCCTGTGTTGTGGGCTTGATCCCCAGTAGGGGGTGTGTAGGAGGCAGCGGATCAGTGATGCCCATCATTGATGTTTCTATCTCTCCCTTCTCCCTTCCTCTCTGAAATCAATAAACACATATTTAATTTTAAAAAGCTACTCTAGTCCGGCTGGCGTGGCTCAGTGGTTGAACGCTGACCTATGAACCAGGAGGTCACGGTTCGATTCCCAGTTAGGACACATGCCCAGGTTGCAGGCTCGGTACCCAGTGCGGGGTGTGCAGGAGGCAGCCAATCCATGATTCTCTCTCCTCGTGGATATTTCTCTCTCTCCCCCCTCTCCCTTCCTCTCTGAAATCAATAAAAATATATTTTAAAAAAATAAATAAAAAAGTTACTCTAGATCAGTGATGGCGAACCTTTTGAGCTCGGCATGTCAGCATTTTGAAAAACCCTAACTTAACTCTGGTGCCATGTCACATATAGAAATTTTATTTGCAACCATAGTAAAGCAAAGATTTATATTTTTGATATTTATTTTATGTATTTAAATGCCATTTAACAAAGAAAAATCAACGAAAAAAAATGAGTTCGCGTGTCACCTCTGACACGCATGTCATAGGTTCGCCATCACTGCTCTAGATACACTAACAAGGCTTGAAAACATGCAAGTACCTGGTAATTTAGTTGACTGTCAAAACAGGTGTCAACACACTAGAAAGAAAGGTAAAAAAATCCAGACCAAAAAAGGGGAATGTCACAATGACCAGCATCCAATACAAAATTGCTAGATGTTTTAATAAATATAAAAATGTGATCCCAGACCAGATGGAAAAATCAGTCAATAGAAACAGACCCAGATATAGCTGGGATTATGAAACTAACAGGCAAGGACTGTAAAACATCTACTTAAAATATGCTTAAGTAAAGAACACTGTAATATCATGTGAGAAAAGTCAAAACTATGAAAACGCATCAAATCAAACTTTCAGAGATGAAAATTTCAATATCCAAAATGAAAAACTCATGGCTAGGTTTAAGAGAAAAGGTATAGAAGAAAAGACCAGTGAGCTTGAAGACATAGCCATAGGAACTATGTATGGAGAGAGTGAACTGGGGGAAAGAAATAATAGCAGCGCCCCAGCTGCCTGCGGGACAAAAGCAGGAAGTCTACCGTGGGCAGTTGGCGTTCTAGGCTAAAAGGGCCAGGGAGACCAGAGAAACTCTGGAAGAAATAATGACCGGAGGCATTTGTAACTCATTCTGTGTAAACTGTATCTAATAAAAAAGACCAAACACAATAAAAGGGAATGAATGTGGCCCTGCCCACCCCCTTGTTGGGTCTCACATGATTCCATCTCTAGACGGCCCTCCTCACTCACCCACCTGGCAGGCCTTTCCATCCTGCCGCTCCTTCTGCAGCGCCCATCCAGAGACTTCCCGAGCCCCACAGAGAGCCGCCCCTCCCCGGGGCAGACCACACCTGAGCGTCCACTGCGGTTTACCTTCCTGTGTGTCTGTCCCCGATCAGATCGCCTGGACCTGTGTGACTTCCTCTAGAGCAGGGACTGTGATCAGCGAGTGATGGGATGAGGGAGCAGATGCCGGGAGGGTGTGGGAGGACGCTGGAACCCTGAGGGCCAGGCTCTGTTGAGTCACCCACCCCCGGTACTTGAAGCAGTTGGCAGTCTGAATGAGTTTAGGGTTTCCCAAGCTTGGTTAATTGTCCAGAGAAACTGGTCTCATTAAAGTGCAGATTCCCAGGCCCCACCAACAGCTACTGAGTCACTTTCCAGGGAAAGACCAAAAGACTTGTGAGTGAGGGGACCTGGGTCTTCCTGCCCCCCAAGCTCTGCCCTTGCCCCCCGAGAGCAGCTCCCCAGGACTCCCCCCAGCTCAGAGCTCCTGTTCCTGGGACCTCAGGGCCTCCCGGAAAGGAAAGGCCGCCTCCCCAGTTGATTGGACCCGCCCAGCTCAATTGATTGGCGCAGCGGGAGCAGGCGCAGACACCGGAGCCTCATCTCACGCCTGTTTCTCAGAACCTCTCCGCCAGGGCAGCCCTGGCTAGTCTCCGCTTTTCCTGACTCTGGAATCCCCTGCCTGCCTCACACACATCTGTCCCACTGCTGGATTGTGGAGATCTTCATATCACTTTTAAAACCTGGCTACATCTTCATATTTTTCTCTTTTAAATTATTTTAAAATTTCACCTATATTTGCTGTTGATTGTGGAGCAGATTCGGTGAGATTAAGTGTCTTAACTAATCTCACAAACCAAACCCCGGGCAGAGCGGGGCTGGGGCCTTCCGCCGGCCTGGCTCCGGGGCCTCCCAGCGACTCCAGCCCCTCCAAGGCCCGGCCACAGTCCGCACAGGAAGCGCCACGGCATGCAGCACCGTGGCTTGAGCCCAGGCCAGACGGAGGGTGCTAGTGAGAACAACTGCTGAAATCCAAATAAAGTTTATTTTTTGAATTATTTATTTCTCCATTACAGTTGACATTCCATTTAACAAAGCAGAGCAGGCCTCGGCCCCTGCTGCAGCGGTGACAGTCTTGGTGGAATTTAATCAGAGGTTTGTTTTGTGTGTGTGTTTACAGTTAACTTCTCTTTGTGGCAGGTTGTCTGGGTTTTCATATTAATTTTTCAGTTTAAACACATTTCTTTTGTTTTTCTAAAGCTGATTTAAAAGTCAACCTTGAGCAAATAATAGTGCAGAATCGACGAGGCTTCTGCCACGGTCGTGGAAACCGTCCAGGAATGAATGAAACCTGAGAAATGAGCAGCAGCCGAGAGCGTGTTTCCCAAAGAGAAAGGTGCCTTGGCCTTGCTCCCCCGCTGGGCCTGGCTGGGACGAAGCTGACAGCCTGGAAACGCTTCCCCTCTGGGCCCGGCTGGGACGAAGCCAGCCATGTGACCCTGAGCTCTCTCTGGCTTTTCCCTGCCGGGCACACCACCTGGCACGTAGTAGATGCTCAGTAAACACCCGGTGACTCAGTGGACTCATGGAAAGATGCACATGGAGGTGACACTTCGGCGCCAGCTGCCTCCTGTCAGATGGGCCTTTGAACCCTGGCTTCCTGGCATTGGGCACTTCCATTCCTGGTGGGGCTGAGCCCCTCCTGTCATCAAGAGCACCCCTGAGCGGATCTCCTGGGCAGAGGCTCCAGGGCCGGCCATGCAGCGAGCAGAACCATCAGACTCATTGTCTCAGCAGGCAGTGCCACTCCCAGGAAGGCCGACCTGCCCACCGCAGCCCCGCTGGCGCCTCTGGTCTCCCTGACCTGCCCCACTTAATGTTCCAATTCGTTTATGGGCCCTGTGGCCTACCCTCTGCCCACAGCGTCCACAAGAACAGGAGCTCTGTACATGCTGTTCGCGGCCCAGGGTGACACTCAGCAAATATTTGCTGGATGAATGGACAGGTGTCCCAGTCTGTGCTGCTTCGCTGCTTCCCGAGCCTCACTTTCCTCATCTGTCGAATGGGATGGTCACTAACTGGAAGGTCCGGCGGGGCGCGGGTTGGAGAACGCACCTCCACAGGCTCGGCTGGGAGAGGCGTTCAGTGAGCCGGTGACGAGAAGTCAGGATCCACTCGTTCCTGCTGGTCAGTCAGTCCACAAGCATGTGGCGCGAAGGCTTCACGGAAGGAGAAGGGTGAGTAACACCTGAGGGGAACGGGTGGTGTGGGAGAGGGAGCGAGCAGAGCATCCGGTGGGGTGGAGGGTGGCCTGAGCAGAAGCCGGAGGCGGCTACACAGACGGTGCGCCTTGCAGACTCGGGTGAAGAGCAGGCCTAGCTTCCCTCCCAGAGCAGAGCCTAGGTCTGGAGGGGCTGGCGGGCTGGGACATGGGGTTTGCAGCTCAGTCTTCCCTCACCACTGAGCCCTCACCACGACATGCACTGGGCACTGGGGACACAGGGAGCCCAGCCTCAGTCCGAGGGACCCTTACAGCAGATGAGTTTGCCTCGGTCACCCTCCAGCTAACACCGGCAGCAGCTGTCCCGGGTCTCCAGTGAGGCCTGCAGTCTCCTGTGGCCCATAGGCCCGAGCACCTCCCCATCTCCCACCCCTCCTGCCTCAGCCTGTTGCTCTGGCAACATGAATCTCATTTCAGGTCACTGTCCATGCCACCTTCCCACCCCAGGGCCTTTGCACATGCCGTTCCCTCTACTTGGTAGAGTCTCCCTCTGCCCCACCCAACTCCCCCCCACCCCCTTTATTTTTCTTTCTCAGAATGAAAGTATGGCTGTGAAGTAGGAATTCAGCAGAAAAATATTTAAGATGTGCAGTAGTCGCCTTTTGAATAAAGTTAGTTTAAAAGGAAGATGAATAAACCGCTAGAGCTTAGACTCAATTTCTATTTGAAAGACAACCAGTACTTTAGGTATTTATTAAATCACAGCACTCCTCTGCCGCCGGGGGGTGGGAGGGGGAAAGAGGGGGGTAGGGATTACTGCCAGCCTGGAGGGAGAAAGGGGAGGGGGAGGCAGGGGGGTCAAATCCCAGGTGTGAAGGCAGGGAGGGCAGGACGGAAGCCTGGGCGCCAGCAGTGCCGCCTGCGTGGGTGTGCTGGGAGCTCATGAGGAGGTGGGAGCGGGTGCCGGTGTCCCTGTGGTCGCAGCCCGGGGGGAGGAAGCGTTGTCAGCCCGGGGCCACGGGCTCTGCACAGACTGCACCCCTCCTTACGTGCCGGTGGGGTTAGTGATCTTCCCCATGAAGAGCATGGAAGGCGTGAGGTTCTCCGCAATCATCAGCAGGAAGGCTCTGTTCAGCTTGAAGGTTAGCGGCCTCTCCATGGGCAGCGTCTGCATGCCGGAGCCCGCGGCCCCCTCCGCGCCCTTCTCATCAATCTTCAGCTTGGCCTTGTGCACCGCCTGTGGGGACCGGAAGCGAGGTCAGTGTTGCCACGCGACTCGGAGACCCAGATGAGCCAAGGACAGCGGAGGCTCAGGGGGGAGAGGCCGCGACCGGAGTTGCTCAGCTCAGCAGTCACTGCTGGTGCTGCCTCCCGGACTCCCGCTGTCACCTGTCACACTAAAGGGTACTTGGCAAGGAGGTGCAGCATGAGGGCACCAGTCAGGGGGAGCATCCCTGTGGGGCCGGGGTGGGGGTGCAGGGGGTGCTGTCCTCCTGGGGATTACGGGGAAGCCAGTGCTGTGATGCAGACAGTGTCTTTGAGCCTCAGCTCCATGCACGGGAGGTGGTGTCCTGCCTGAGGCCTCTGGCCCCTCACTCTCCTCCGCCACCCGGTGGGTGGGTGGTGGGTGGTTACGAGGGAGCCAGATGTCTGGGACCCCACATCCATCCCAGGACCATCAGCACCCGCGACCAGGCGATCGACACTGGGAAAGGGATAGGCTTCTGTGAAATGCTGACACATTTCATTCCATTTCGCAGAAGCCGAACCGCTCCCAGCGGGCCAGGAGCTGTGCCTACACAGGCTCGGCTGTGGGCTCCCCCGCTGCGGAAGGACAGGGCGCTGGGCTCCGTGAGGCCTGCAGGAGGGGTGGCTGGTGCGACCCTTTCTAAGATGTCTGCGCAGGGAAGTTTAAGGTGAGAAGACTCTATTAGCTCTTTTTCTTCGTTTTGCAAACTGGTCCATGCCTCCCCGATGGACCTGACCTTCACACTCAGCACCAGACAGTCCCCATCTGACCAGCCTTGGGCCATGCGCTCCCCTCCTGGAAGCTCCCCCCCCCCCCCCCGCCCGACCCCCGACTTCTGGGTGTTGAAATCTTCCCCCCTCAGTTCCCTTTTAACCTAAGAGGAGGATTGCTAGATAAAATACAGGCCCTCCAGTTACGTTTTACTTTTAGGTAAATGATGGAGCTTTTGTGTAAGTATACCCCATGTACTATCTGGGACATACTTACACTAAAAAACCGTCACTTATCTGAAATTTAAACTTACCTGGGTGCCCTGTGTTTCATCTGCTAAATCTGGGGACCCTACCCCAAGTGTGCCTCTCTGCTTGCCCCCGACAGGCAGGTGCTCAGCCTGCTGGAGGCCACAGGCCCTTTGCTTGCTCATCTCTTAACCATGCAGACCATGTGCACGACCTACTCCCAACCGGCCGGTGACGCCTTTGAGTGAGGGTCCGGCTCAGACCCAGACCCGTTCTAAGCCAGTCCGGCTCATCAGTGTTCCGGGCCTTGAGCAAGTGTTTGTTGCACTGAATCGACTTCCAGAACAGCTCCGGGAGCGGGTGCTCACTTCACAGCCTGAAAGCATGAGGCTGGGGAGGGTCCCGATCCCCCGAGAGCACATGGCTGGAGGGGCAGGGCTGGAGTCGAACCCGGCCTGACTGTGGGTGGTGTTCCGGCTTGTTCGGTGGCTGGGATGGGGGCTCGGTGAAGGATGGGGGCCTGTGCCCCAGGGGGCGATGCCCAGGCCAGGCAGGCTTACCTCACCCACTTTCAGGCTTCGATTAGGGACTATCCTGATGAGATCGCCATGTTCCTGGAAGATTTTGGTGATGCCCAAGTAGGAGAGAGTCTTCTTTAGGTCGTAGGTGCCAGTGATGGAGAACCTGGGCAAGGACACGTCCACAACCCTGGGGAGCGTGAGGTGACAACGTGAGGGCAGGCCCCAGGGTAGGTGGTGAGTGAGACATTCCTCCCAGACGTGGAAGCTCAGGCTGTTTCCTGACCCACAGAATGAGGGGGTTTCTCAACCCTTCACATGCCCCAGCCCCGAGCTGCCCCGACCCGGCAGGCCTGACACCAGCGGCAGCGAGGCCTGAGCTCCCAGCAGGCGGCCCCGGCCACAGCCACTCGGAGCTTGTGCGCTCACTCTCTCAGCCACCGTGCGACCGTGATGGTGCCCATGGCGCCCAGGGCAGTGAGCGCGCTCATGCGCATGCGCGGGGGCGCTCGGCAGTCGGTGGCCAGCGCGTGCTCACCCCAGCCCAGGCGTTGGCAGCTGCACAGCCTCCGAGGGTGGGCCTTGGGTTCCTGTCCTCGGGCCCTGAGCCCCATTCCTGCTTGCCTCTCCAAGAACCCAGGCCCGCCTTGGTCTCCTTCCTCTCCGCACCCTCATATATGGTGTCGGCTTGACCATTCTCAGGAGCAGAGCCCCTGCTGTAATAACCCCCATCCTAAAAAACAGAACTTCCCTGCTGGGGCCTGGCTGGTGTGGCTCAGTTAGTTGAGCATCATCGCATGCACCGAGGGGTTGCTGGTTTGATTCCCAGTTGGGGCACATGCCCAGGTTGCAGGCTCAGTCCCCAGGAAGGGGTGCGGCAGGAGGCAGCCGATTGATGTTCTCTCTCTCTCTCTCTCTCTCTCTCTCTCTCTCTCTCCCCCCCCCCCCCTTTCTTCTCTCTCTCAAATCAAGAAAAACATATTGAAAAGAAAACATCTCCTGCGGCTCTGAGGCACCTCTCCAGCTTCCCAGCTTCCACATCTTTTCTTTCATTCACAGCAGAAGTTGTACCTACCACTTCCTCCACGTCCTCCCATCGTCACCCCAGCCCACTCTGATCAGACGGTCCTCCACATGCTACCAAAGCAGCTCTTCCCAGAGTTGCTGCCGACCTCCGCTTGCTGGGCCCAACAGCGAGCTCTCAGGGGCCAGACTAGACAGCTATATTTTAAGAAATATGTTTTTATTGATTCAGAGAGAGAAAGGGAGGGATAGGAACATCAATGATGAGAGAGAAACATTGATCGGCTGTCCTGCAGGCCCCACACTGGGGATTGAGTCCGTAACCCAGGCATGTGCCCTGACCGGGAATCAAACCCTGACTTCCTGGTTCATAGGTCGATGCTCAACCACTGAGCCACACTGGCCAGGCCATCTTTCCATCTCAAAGCACTCCAACCCGAGCCCACATCCTCCAGCTCTCTCCTCCCTTCAGCAGCCACCCCCTCTCGCCCTTGGGTGCCTTCACCTTGTCACCTGTCGCATTGCTCAAGTCTCAGCCCTTGGTCTCCTTCTTCTCTCTTCTCCTTCCCTGGGGATCTCATGCATTGTCATCACTTTAAATGCCAGAGACAGGCTCAATGACTCCCAAACTTACCTTCCCACCCATCCAGTCATTCAAGTATCTATTCAGTGCCTGTGTGTACCAGCTGCTGTTCCCATTGCTGAGGTACATCTATGAGAGGAACGGGCAAAACCCATGGCCCCGAGCTTGTGCTCTCACAGGAAGACAGGCAACAAAATGAGCAGAGGAGAGAGGAGACATACGCACTACTCTGTAATACTTTAAACAACAACATTTACAAACAAGCCAACGTGGCAGCGACGCAGACAGGCAGCCTGCGTATAAGAAGGCAGGATGATAGGGAAAAACACAGATGAACTCACAGGAGCCAGGAACGCTGGAGTAAAGGGCAGGTTTGGGCACTGCATGGAGGCAAAGGAGGCAAGATGGTTTTGTGTTTTTCTGGGTGAAATGAAGATTGGCCAGAGGGTTCTGAACAGAGATGTAACGTGGTCTTGCTGAGGGTTAAAAGGATCATTTCATCAGCTGTTAGGAATATCCTCTTGATGGTGAAGGGCAGGGCCCAGAGGTGATGCTGGGAGACCATTTGGAAGATGTTCGGGTCATAGAAGTGGGAAGGATCAGGCTCCAGATATATTTCAAATGGGGCTGACGGGGTCCCTGGCAGACTGAGGGGCCAGGGGAGGACAGGGGTCAAGGAGGACCCCAGGGTTTTAAACGTGAGCTACTAAGAGGATGGAGACACCACTGAGGAGACGGAAGCTGGAGGAGGTTCCCTAAGGGGAGATGGGGGTGTTCCTTCTGGACACGTTGGGACTGAGATGTCTCAGGCATCCAGGGAGGTCCTGGGTGAGCAGACGGACGTGTGACCCTGGAGACAGGGACAGGGTAAGAGCCCAGTCACCTGGGAGAGAAGAAGTAGAGAGAGTAGGCGGAAAAACAAGGAGGGAGAGGAGGAGGGAAGGGAGGAGGACGGAAGAAGCTGCACACACCAGACCCCCTTTACCTCCGCATGATTAACTTCTTCCATCTGTCAAAAGTGTCCAGCGTCAGGGCCTCCTCCACCCGCCGCATGTTGCCCTTGTCGGGAAGAATGAAGGTGGCCGAGATGTTGTGAAAGTAGGGCATCTCCAGGACGGTGCAGCCGAGCTGCTCGTCATAGCCCACTGCATACATGCCCCCGTGGAACATCATGGGCACCTTCACGGGCCTGTTTTCATCCAAAAAGAAGTCTTCCTCTTTAGTTGATTTTGGGTCAAACTCGTGTAGCCACCTGGCTTCAGATGGAAGGAGGACAAAGCGGTGTGAGTGTCCTGAAGGAGAAGAAGGGACTGGACCCCGCTAAGCACTGGTCTCTGTCCTCATGCTGAAGTTCAGGGAACGGGTTTGGAGGCTCTGAGATATCAGGACATATCCTCAGGAGTCCCTGTTCTCATGACATGCCCTCAAGACTTCTGGTGAGGTGGGCTGGGAGTTGACTACCGGTTCCTATAGAAGCCAGGCCTGGGGCTGCTGAGCCAAGAGGAGAGCTTCTGGCAGCCCTAAGCCCAGGTACTCCTGAGGGTGAGAAAGGCTATGGACTGTGTCCCAGCAAAGGGGACTAGATTATACTGAGTGGGGTGATCTGGGTCTGAAGTGAGTGACAATGCCCAGCTTTATTCTAAGTCAGCCCTGGGGTTGCTGCTCTCACACGGGACTGAGCGCAGTGATGGAACAGTCTGCCCTTGGGAGCCTGCTGAAGAGAGTGAACTCCCGGAGCTGGGTGTTTGGACCCTCCTTTTCTATCCTGAGGATTCTTTGATGCTGTTGGGCACAAACCCAGACCTGGGTCTTTGCACTACCTTCAAAGACCCACCATTCAAATTCTCACTCTACTGTTCTACATGGATAACTTTGGGCAGGTGTCTTACCCTCCCTGGGCTTCAGTGTCCTTATATGGAAAGGGAATATTGATGGAGACCTCCTAGGGCTGCTGAGAGCCTGGGAAAAGGTTGCACAGCGTAGTGACTATGTATAGTAAGTGTTGAGTGAATGCTAGTCATCATCTGCATCATCATCACCATGGTTCTTGTAATCCAGGGGATGCAGGGACAGGGACTAAAGGAATTTCCAGATTCCCCTTTCTTCCTCTGCTTTGGGAAGACTGAGATTTCAGTCTGCCATTTTCACTCCCTCCCCACTTCCCCGCTCTTGCCACTCATCTCCCTGTGGATTTTGGGAGAATTGAACTTCCATATTTAGAACCATGCTGCTGACAACCCAGCAGTAATCTTGTGTGGCCTAAGGGCTGTTGGCCTCTTATTCTTAACTATGTTGGCCAACCTTTGTGTGAACGTGTAGATGTGTATGGTGGGCGGGATGATGCTTGGATTTGGGAATATTCTTCTACCTTCCTTTTCACTCTTACCCTGAGACTTGAGAATCAACAGGGTTTGATAGGAGATCAAAGCACCCACCAAAGTGGTCATCATCACCATCACCAACAAGACGATCACCATCCCGGGCATCTACTTAGAATGATGGAAAGTGCACATCTCCTGGGCCAAGAGAAGTGGGTTTGAGTTCTCACTTCCATTGACTGGCTTTGTAACTGAGTAAGCCAATTAATGTCTCTCTAAATTTCACTTCCCTTTTCTAAGAAGTGAGGAAAAGAATGTCACTGCAACCCCTGTAAGCAGTGCTGTGTTAGGATAATCAGTAATGATGAAAAGTGCACATGGAGAGTGTTTAGACTTCACAGAGTTCATTGTGCATACATTTTTGCTTCGAATAACCATGACTGCCCTATGAGTTATGTATGCAGATAGGAAAAGTGAGCCTTTGAGAGATTAATCACTTATGAATTCAAGGTCACAGAGCAAGCAGGTGGCCAAGCCTGGTTTTCAATCCAAGTCTACTGGTCATGTTCTCTTTTCCATGCCAAGCTGTCCCTCGCCTTACCTCGAAAGTAAAGACAGTTGACAAGAAGCATCACAGTGCCAGGATCTATATCCTTGACCAGGTTATTGATTTTCCCCTGGGTTTCCTGACTGACATAGTCATTGATCTGCTTCTGAGCTTTTTTGACGTCCTGGAAGTTGGTGGGGATGCTATTTGCATTGTACAGGTTCTTAGCGTCTTCCATAAACCTCTTCTCTGGCCGCAGCTTCTGGTCCAGGAACAAGGTGTTCTCGAGGCTCAGCCGGAGGCCCTCGGCCTTCTGGTTCAGCCTCTGGATAAGGTAATGGAAACCCTCATGAAGGTCTTCCTCCGGCATATTCCTGAAGTTGAGGCCCTCCTTGATCTCGGCCAGCGTGACGTTCTGGGCACCCAGACACAGCATGGCGAAGGCGGTGGAGATGCTCATGGGGGAGAAGAAGATGTTCTTGCTAGGGCCAGTGGCGGCCATCCTCTTGTACAGCTCGAAGCCAAAGCCCACGTTCCGCCTGGCGAGTTCCTGGGCTGCCCTCCTGCCCTGCTGCTCTTGGTCCCGGCTCACGGCGCCAGGATTCTTTGGGGAAAAGCCGGGCTTCCGAAGACCTTCTACAGCGAGGAGGCCAGCCAGCAGCAGGCCCAGGCCCAGCCTGAAGTTCATCTTCCTCAGAGATTGTCCTGTGGAGGAGTAGGCCTGCGGTTAGTGGGAAAAGAACAAAAGAGCCCCACTGCCCGTCTTACCCACGAGGAGGACGAGAGAAGCAGTGCAGGGCCTCGTGCGTGCTGTGCGCAGCGGTTTATCAGCGCGCTGGCGTCCATTATAGCATTTCACCCAGACCGTCGCCCCGGGACAGGAAAGGGTTGTCCTCCTCCATAACTGCGAGGCCTGACCAGAGGAAACAGCTCTTGTTTGTGTCCCCATCTTCCCCATCGTAGGGTGACAGAATCTCAATTCCTTTGCGGAACTGCCCCCTCTACTCTACTGGATGACAAGAGGGAAACGCCACAGCGTGGCCACGTGACCCAGGTGAGGCCACCATAGTACTTCACCCCCTGCCACAATGATTGGTAAAGAAGTATGACTGTTTCCCAAATCAGATCAGTGTCTTCCCCTGGGAATGTACAGGCGCCTTAACGCTGAGGGTCTGGCTTAATGATGCAGCCCTGGAGCCTAATGTGGCCCTGGCTTCCATGTGTAGAAGGAGAGAAGAGAGCGCGCGAGAGAAATGGGGAGAAGTACTTGGTGACATCTTTGGAGTCCCTGGATCAAGCTCTACCTAAAAACCAACAACCTCTAATTTTCCAAGTTATGAGCCAATAAATTTCCTTTTGAGGGTTGGCTGCTATGAGTTGGATTTTTTCCCTTACAACCAAAAGAGTATTGACTAATTTGTCGAAGTCCAGCCCTTGGTCTGGGATCCCCTGTAGGTGGGGACTATGCACTCCAGAACCCAGGTCTCTGTCAGACCTTCCTCCCTGTATTGTTCCCGGGAGGAGAAGGGGCAGCGTGATGAAGAGGACAAGTCCTGGTGGCTGCAGGACTGCCGCTCCTTTCACCACCTCCCAGTGTGGACACCTCCCGCCAGGGCTGTGAGCTTCGGGGCGACGTGCTTTTCATGTTTTATTCTCCCTTCACCTCGAGCTCTCATGCTGCATAGAGCTGCCAAAAGCACGGTCGTCCCCGGAGCTTGCTGATTTCTCTAGTTGGCCATGCTGCTATCAATGATCTTTACACTCGCCGTGCCCACACCCCCTCCCTCTGGCAGCCCAGGGACAGAGGACCGTCCCCAGCACCGAAGGGGCTCTGGCTGGGTGACGACACTCCCCTCTAGTGACTGGTCAGGAGCTGGCCCGGATGCAGTCAGCCCACTGAGTTCCACCCTGACCGGACCGGGGGGGGGGGGGGGGCGGGTGATGTGAGTGACCAGGGGCATGAATCTCAGGGTCTTTGCTGAGATGTTGGGACGCTGCCCTGTTCCAGCCTCTGGTGTCCTGGGAAGGAAGGTGTAGACGTCAGGGGCTTCCATAGCCATGTGCCCAAGGAGAGAGTGACCCTGGGACAGAGCCAGAATGTGAAAAGGGTGCACGTCAGGGCTCCGCAGAGACCCTGGAGCTGGGCCACCCTGAGCCCCTGCCTCTAGCTTCCAGTGACGCTGGCATGAGTTACGTGGTCAGTTACTGAAGCCAAAAGATTCCTGACAAATACAAGTATAAATATGTCTTTATTGATTTTTAGAGAGAAAGGGGAAGAGAGAGAGAGAAACATCGATGTGAGAAAATCAATCAATTGCCTCCCACGCGCACCCCGACCAGGCATCAAACCCACAACCAGGGCATGTGCCCTGACCGGGAATCAAACCAGCGACCTTTCAGTGCATTGGACGATGCTCAACCCATTGAGCCACCTGGTATATGCACCTAGAAGTCAGGAGGCCCGGCCTGACCGTACGCCGATTGCTGTGTGACACTGGGGAGAACGCTCCCCCACACCCCCAGCCTGGTGATGTCTAAGCACCCTCCTCTCCCGACGACATGTTTTACAGGAAAAATTAAAAATAGCTGGTGATGAACAAAGGCTCAGAGATGGTCTGGGAATAGATTAGAGAAGAGGAGATGTAGCCCCAGGGGTGTTTCAGAAAGGAGCAGACATAGAAGACGGGGTGGCTTCGTCTCAGGTGCGTGGGTTGGGCTGGGGAGGAGTCGGCTGGGTTGGTAACAGGAGCTTCACGTTCGCCAGGTGGATGGCCCTCCGTGGGCACCACTCCCAGAGCCCAGGGTGGAGGGGATCAGACATCCCTGAGGAGCTCCGAGGGCACCCTCGCGGGGGCTCACCAGCCAGGTGAGGCGAAGCCGCGGAGCCCCTGCCAGGCCCGGCCCGGCCCAGCCCAGCCCGGAGCCGGGAGGAAACTGCTCGGAGCTGCATCCAGGAGCACTTTCTGGCACAGACACCCACACGGTTTACAGCGATGCCCAGGCGGCCCCCCCGGCCCCCGAGTTTCAGGAACAGGAACTGATTATGGACGTAGGAGCCTGCACGTTGGTCTTCTCCAGCTTAGGGTCTGGAGGGTGGCAGGCAGCCTCCTTGCCCTCCAGAGCTTCAAACTGTCATCTCCTAGATGCGGGGGGGGGGGGGGGGGGGACGACTTCGGCCTCCTCCCCCTCGATGCTGCTCCTCAGCTCCCAGCCCTGGGACACGGTCTGCACCTGCCAGGTCTCAGCTGCCCCCTCCTCTAAGCATTGGATCTGAGCCCAGGCCTCCTGCCCAGGCCCCCGAGTGCCCACAGCCTGGCCTTCCCATCCGTCATCACAGGCCCTACACTGACCCAAACGTGTCCGGTGGGTGGGTACCCGTCCCAGATGCCCGAGGCTTGCTTTTGTTTATTCCATCAATTAAAATAGCTGAGCGGCTGGTTATCTCCCAAGAGATGGATAGACGCCCAAGTTGAGCAACTCTCTCCTGGTTTTTATTTTGGAGTGCGTGGGTGGGTGGGAGGGTGAGGGGCCGGCCTGTCTCTAGATAACGTAAGTAAACAAAATGAAGACGAAAGCAGAAACCGAGCCCGTGGGCAGGACTGCAGTTCGGCCTCTCCGGCCCACGCTCCTCCCCGGGCCCGGGGGAATGACTTCCTTCCCGTCTGGAGAGAAGAGCACGGGCTCAGGAGGCCCTCCTGCGGACAGCTCCAAGCCGGGGCACCCCGCAAACCGGGAGCCGGGCCTGAGCTCGGGGCCCCGTCTGCGCAGGAGGGCTTGCCCACTGGAGGGCTCTCAGGGGGGCAGCTCCAGGTGAGCTTAGCAACTGGGATCCGCCAATCAAAGCCCCGAAGGGGTGGGGACAGTGAGATGTGATAGCGCTTTTAACAACAGGGACTGATGTTAGGAAGCACTTGCAGCCTGGAGCAGGCTGGCATACCTCGCGGGGGGCGGGGTGAGGAGCGATAAGCCAAAGAACTCATAGACTTATATGCACAGCCATGGACACGGGCCGTCGGGTGGTGACCTGGAGGGGTGGGTAGGAGCGGGGAGGGGAGGGAAATGGGATCCATCTGTAATAGTATCAACAATAACGTATATATATTTTTAAAAAGCCCTTTCACACTCGTCATCGCCAGAAGCCTGCGGAGAACCCAGGCCACACGCGGAGCGCACGGGACACAGGTGCACACGGGACACAGGTGCGCACGGGACACAGGTGCGCACGGGACACAGGTGCGCACGGGACACAGGTGCGCAGGCCGAGCGGCTCAGAGCCTCATCCTCCGCGAGCAGGGACCGCACAGCCCGCCCGCCCCTCCGGACAGCCCCGCCGTGAGGCTGACGGGCAGGAAAGGTGACGTGTGTCCGTCCTCACGAGCCAATGAGTCTGAGTTCAGGATGCTGCGGACGCGTTCCCATCCTGTGAGCCTCATGAGCCGTCTGCCAGCTGGAGTGCCGCTCACTGCCGGGCCCTTTCCTGCCCCGAAAGGCCCCGGCCCTCGGAGACCAGCCCTCCCCCGTCCTTCCCGGAGTTCCCGGAGCGTCAGCACTGGGTGACCTAACTGCCTTTACCCGCGTGACGCCGGTCCTTCCCAGCGACGGGCACTGGCCGCGGAGACCAGCAGGAAGCCCTGGGCTGGAGACCTCGGGCGTGCCTGTGGTCCGCTATTCTAAGGCATCGACGTTGTTTTAAGCGGAGATCATGCTAGACACATTAGTGGTTATCACTGATTTTTAAAATACTTTTACTGATTTCAGAGAGGAAAGAGAGACATAGAAACATCAATGATGAGAGAGCATCATTGACCGGCAGCCTCCCGCGTACCCACGACTGGGGATCGAGCCCGCAACCCGGGCCTGTGCCCTGCCTGGGAATCAAAAGTCAGCCTGCTTTATAGGTCGACGCTCAACCACTGAGCCACGCCGGCCGGGCGGTTCTTGTTTTGTAGAGTGAGTGATGGTCGGTCTGTGCCGATGCTGCTGACCGACCCGCGGCCTTCGGAGCCCCAACACGGTATTCTCCTGAGAGGCAGCGTCCCCCCAGCCCACGGGCCTCTCCAAACCCTCCCTTAAGGTCCGCTGTCTGCCTGGCCGTGTCTCCCGCCCTCATGACTTATCCTAGGGCAGAACCTATGACACACGTGTCAGAGGTAACACGCGAACTCTTTTTTGGTTGATTTTTCTTTGTTAAATGGCATTTAAATATATAAAATAAATATCAAAAATATATGTCTTTGTTTTACTATGGTTGCAAATATCAAAACATTTCTATATGTGACACGGCACCAGAGTTAAGTTAGGGTTTTTCAAAATGCTGACACGCCGAGCTCAAAAGGTTCGCCAGCACTGTCCTAGGGCGAGGGAACACGTGGGTGTGCAAGGGCCGGTGAGCATCAACTTCAGGGCCACTTGTGCTCTGAAGGGGACACTGAGTCCCAGGGAGGACAAAGGCGCGATCTGCGCCCACACCCAGCATGTGGGGAGATGGAGTGGGAACCGAGGCGCCCAGCGATTCTGCACAAGTGCAGGGGGCGAGCCCCCCTTCCCAGGGGAGTAACCGGCCTCCCCCCCAGGGAGGCAAGCCGACGCGGGCAGCCCCCAGACAAGGCTGGCGTGGCCACAGCCGTGGGGCTGGGCACACCTGATAGGAGGCCCCTTGTCTCCCCAGACAGGCCGTTCCCCACGGCCACCGAGGACTGTCCTCTGGAGAAGCACTGGAGGGCGGCACCGGGAAGCCAGGCGCCGTGAAGACGAGGGGGGCTTGCTTCCCAGGCTTGGGGCTCCCGGAACGCTCTGCAGGAGCCCACCCGGTCGGTCTGGGCCTTCCTGCGATCCGAGCCCCCCTTGACACAGAGGAGAACCCGCGACCTCTTCAGAGGGAAGGCAGACTCACCGTGCGTTCTGGAGACGTCCCAGAGCTAGCCCGATGGGTCCGCGTCCTGGCTGTCCCCCTACACGCCCATGGCCTCTGGAGCCGCAGACGGAGGCCGTGCCTGCCGGGTGGGCAGGGATGGAGCTGGGAGCAGTGGCCCTCACCTCCGGACTCCTCACTCCCCAGGCAGAGTGGCATTCAGACCGCACCCGCTGGGTGGTGGCTTCCCTAATGAAGTCCATCCTTTTTTTTTTTTTTTTTTTTTGCAATGACTTATTTCCCAATAATTACCTTAGTTCACCTGGGGATCTTCTGGGGAAGAGAACACAAAAGAGATGAGTAGACAATTAAGTACAAAGTCTCGTGAGGAGTAACAGGAATCAAAAATTCACCTCAGCCCTGGCTGGTGTGGCTCAGTGGATAGAGCATCAGACTGCAGACAAAAGGGGCCCGGGTTCGATTCCAGCCAAGGGCACATACCTCGGTTACAGGCTTCTCCCCAGCCTAGGCCCTGGTCAGGGCGAGTGTGGGAGGCAACCAGCCGATGTGTTTCTCTCACATCGATGTTTCTCTCTGTCTTTCCCTCTCTCTTACGCCCTCTCTAAAAATCAATGGAAAAGTAGCCCCTGGTGAGGATTAACAACAAAAAATTCACATCGAAGTTCAAAAATTTCCAGTTGGTTTCTGATTGCGTATTTGTTGTTCTGGAGGGAGTAGTGGGTTGCCGCCCCCCCCCCCCCCCATCTTTCTGTTTTCCAAGTTGTCTTGAAGGAACAGGTATTACTTTAGAATCCATTTTTAAAAGATTGGAAGTAAAATGGAGCTCTTGGCCCTCTGAGATGGGGCTGAGAACCTTCCCAACACCCTGATCCTGGGATGGACGCCATGAGCCCCCGCCCTCCTCTCAGCCCCGCAGTCTCTGATGGACGCAGGGAAAGCCGCAGGAGAGAAAGGAGAGGCCCACGGCACCCGCCTGCGCTCACAGACCCACCAGCCCGCGGTGGGTCCCAGGGCCCAGCGCTGCCGGCATCGGGGAGAGCCGCCGCAGGAGGCCGAGCTGCCAGGTTCCCTCCCCCAGGGAGGCAGGCCTGTCCCGGAATGCACCTGGGCCGGTGCGCCGCGTGGCCGGGCCCCTGTCACTGAGGGTGCACGTGGCCAGACGCCCCCGACGGGACAAGCCGAGGTGGCGGCAGCTGAGAGCAGCCAGCAGACGCTGACCCAGAATCTGGGCCTGTGCCCTGGTTTGGAGGGGAAAACCCTGCCTGCTAATGACTGGGTGAGGCCTGCAAGTCTGTGGGCCACACCCGCGCCCGTCCCGGGCACACTCAGTGGCAGGCACTCCCAGGGCAGCTGTGCGGGAGGGTCGCTTCAGCGGGAGGGGCTGCCCTGGGGAGGCCTGGGTGCAGACAGGGCCCAGAGCCCGAGGGCCATGAGGAAGGTGCCACAGGTGGGCTGGAGCCGCCGCCCATCAGGGCCAAGAGTCCTCGAGTCTCGCCTCAGCCAGGGGAGCCCACAGTGGGGAACCCACATGGGGAACAGTGGGAGCAGGTGGTTGGAGGACCAGTCCCTCCCAGCGCCCATCGGGGGCACAGCCTCAACCCGAGGCTGCCTGACCACCTGTAGCTGGGAGGGCCCAAGGCCCGTGGAGTGGCGCCTGGCGTCCTGGAGGGCTGGAGGGCTGGAGGGAGAAGGAGATTTTCCGGTCCGGGGACATTGCGGGCAGCTGACGGACAGGGCCGTGGCCGCCAGGGGAGAGGCACGGGCATGCCTGCAGCCTGGCCGTGTGTAGGCGTGACAGGAGCATCCAGTATCACCCTGGCCTTTGGTTCTCCCCAATGCTGGGCGGTGAGAGACCGAGGGACATGTGAATGACTGTGCCATGTCCTGACTCCAGAGCCAGGTGGCTGGGCGCACAGGGGAGTTCGCAGACACGGTTGCGTTTGCTAAAGGCAGAGGCTGAGCTGTCTCTGGGAGAGAAGGACATGCAAGAGGCACCTTATCCCACTGAAGGGTTTGGGACAGCCTCACAGGCGGGCACTCGATCTGGGTTCTGAAGGGTGAGTAGGAGTTCTCTAGGTAAACAGTGAGGGCATGAGGAGCACAGCAGAGCACCTGCAGGTGAAGAGAGCACGAGACCCATCGGACGCCTCTAGACAGGATGCTGGTGAGCTTCAGGCTCCTCCTCTGAATAGGGGGCTCCCCTGCCTCTCACGCAGCATCTCAGCCCGGGGAGCACATTAGGACCATCTGGGAGCTTGAAAAAACCCATTTCCTGCACGCCCTGCAGAGCGTCTGCGCAGCTGGCCCAGGGCAAAGGCTGGGTGGGGCGCTTGTGGGAGCCGCTCCTGAGGGCAGATGAGCGTCCTGGGTTGATAATATCTGCTCTCAAGCAGCCAGTCCCCCCACCCCCCAAGCCTTGGCTCCCTTGCACCACCGGATGCGGGGAATTTCCTAGGCTGTGGCCACGGAGACCGGGAGGCATCTGCATAGAAATAGATACATTGATCCGGGAACAGACTGGGACCCGGGACAACCCACCCAAGAAGAGCCGCCTGCCGGGGCAGAGCGCCCTGCGTCCAGCGGGCAGAGGCGGCCTCTCCAATGTGCGGGAAACACGGGCGTCCACTGCGGGGAAGGGACCTTAACCCCCGCTCGCTCCACACACAAAAGTAGAACCCACAGGCCCACATGTGGGAGGTATGAGAATGAACCATATGAAACTGCTGATAATTATTATTATTATTTTTTTTTTTTTGGCCTCAAAACTCCCATGATCAAATCCATAAAGCTTCTGGGAGAAAATATAGTAGAATACCTCCATGGCCTCGAGATAGGCAAGGACTTCTTAGGCAGCACACAGAGTCCTAACCGCGAGAACTGGTCATCGAGCCTCATTGAGGACTTCTGTGCACCCACAGCCCCCTGGGAGGATGCGGAGACCAGGCGCAGAGGGTGCTCGGAAGGGTGTGAGAAGGGGCGGTGCTGACGTTGAACATTTCTGCAAACCGCTCTCTTCCCGAGAGCAGCCAGAGGTGACCTCTGAGAGGGGTTCGCTTTTCACTTGACCCAGAAACCCCCACAACGTCATGCAAGTCCAGAGGTTCAAATCTCCGTGCTCACTGCAAGAACGCCCGTGAAACTGCCCAGGCCATCAGGGTATGCCAGGCCGAAAAGCCGCCACGTATCTGCAGGAGGTCCCTTCACAGAAGCCACGGGTGCCACCCTGTCGGGCACATTTGTTAATTTTTAAAATCGATTTTTAGTTACGGTGACAATGGCTGGGCCCGTGCAGCACGGGGCTAGTTGCAGCCCATCGGTCTATTGCATGTGGCGTCGGCATGGCTGTGGGCTGTGTGGTGTGGGTGGCCTCACGGGAGCCCCACCAGCCCAGAGTCACACGCGTCCCCAAGTCCCAAGAGCAGCCAGGGCACAAGAGAGCTAAGTTCTTTGTTCAGGGGATTAAAGAAATACCCCAAATGCCCGGCCCTTGCAGTGGCCGCATGCACGCTGGCCAGCAGCCTTTGTTCTCAGGTGTGACTGGCAACACGCACCTTCCCTGTGTCGCCCCACCTTTACTGGGCACGCGTCTGTCTCCCCTTGGCTGGACCCCTGGAGGGTGCAAAGCTGCAGCTTCCTGGTGAAGCTGCCCACATGCCACGCCCATCATGGCTGGCTCCCCCTCTGCTCCTCTCCTGTTATTAATCACCAGCTGGTTCAACGGTGTCGGTGTGACTGACTCTGCTCCTTATGCTGGTCATTACGTCCTCAGGGTTATTTTTAACTGGAAGTTTGTACTCCTTAATCCCCTCCCCCTTTTCTGTCCATCCCCCCGCCCCCTCCCCTCTGGCAACCGTCAGTTTGTTCTCTGTATCTATGGGTTCATTTGTTTCTTTCTGTTTGTTCATTTGTTTTGGGTTTTAGCCCAGATTTAAGTGAAATCCTATGCATTTGTCTCTCTCTGTCTGACTTCGTTCACTTAGCACAATACCCTCTCGGGCCATCTATGTTGTCACAAATGGCAAGATTCGGCCTTTCTGTGGCTGAGTAATATTCTGTTGTGCATCTGCGCCATGTCTTTATCCACCCGTCCCCTGAGGGACACCCAGGTCGCTTCCGTATTTTGGCTATTGTAAACGATGCTGCAGTGGACATAAGGGGAGTTGTTGGTTCTGCTTTCTTTGGATGGATACCCAGAAGCGGAATTGCGGGGTTGAATGGCACTTCTATTCTTGGTTTTCTCAGGCACCTCCACCCTGTTGTCCGCAGTGGCTGTGCCAATCCGCATTCCCCTCTGCGGTGCACAAGGCTCCTTTTCTCCCCATCCTCGCCAGCACCTGTTGTTTGTTGTCTTTTTGGGAACAGCCATTCTCACAGGTGTGAGGTGGTGTCTCATTGTGGGTTTTTCACTTCCCCGATGACAGAATAGCTCTCATTAAAAAGGGCCGACAGTTCCCAGGGGTGGGGCCAGTGGAACTCGCACACGCGGCTGGTGGGCGTGTAGCTGGCGCACACACGGGAGTTCTGGGCAGGATCCATGAAAGCAAAACCTCTGCTTACCCTTTGACCTCTGCATCGTACCCCGGAATGTAGACCCAGAAATGTGTGCTGGGGGGTTCACAAAAGACAGGCACTGGGGTGTCCACAGCAGCTTTATGTGATCACCCCGAAGTGGAAACGACTCGAATGCCTATTGACAGTAAATGAAAAAAAAAAAAAGGTTTCAGCCACCACCCCAGGTCGCAATTTCCATTTCCAAGGTGACCCCACAACTCTGTTAGTGCTTGTGACAGGCAGCCCCGGAGCCTATGGCCAGCGATGGGAGGCACTGAGGGGCCCATTAGAGCAAATGAAACGGCCTCCAAGGATAAGGCAAAGGCAGAGTTAATGCAAACACAGCCTTACTCATTAAATCAGTCCCACTCAGTGCACCATCAATGGCTTCCAAAGAAAACTAGCGCTTTCAAAGCAGCCGCCAACAGTACCGGAGGCCCCCAAGGAGGGTCCAGTAAAAAAAGGTCGAAAGTCTTTCCACACAAAAATCTAAGCAAGTGAGAGAAAACGAGAAATAGAAGTGTAAGTCATACGGACTGTAGAACGCATTCTCCAAGTAACAAAAAGTCATTGCATCCAAGATGGCACGTCAAAGCCATGGGGGAAAGGCA